CTACAGGATGTGCTACTGAGAAGCAAGGCAGAATGAGTTTTTAATCAGCAGTGAATGTACAAAGATTAGGTGCACAAAACGCTAAGAACTTTCCGGACAACCTAATACATTAATCCGAGAAAGCTGGCAGCCAATCCGCCCAGTTGTTACCAGCACGTCGGTCGTCAAAAATGCTCTCTATCAGATAAGGATGTGAAGGTGCGTTCACCATAAAAAGTGCCTCCTGTGCTGGAGAAAATCTTGGAGAAGGGCAGATAGGGGATCCTGCCTCACCAAGCACATACTCTCTATCTTTGTTCAAAGGCGTCTCCATCATGGTTAGAAAAAATTACGATATATTATATCCCGACAACAGTTAAGATTGCTCTCCTCTCCTAGGCAAAAGACAATCTCACGTTCAAATCCACTTCAGTAGACGCGTCAGCAAGTTGGCGACATCTTGCACACACGCAGATTTCGAAACGATGCGACCGTATATTCTTTGCGACCACTGCTCGATTGGCAAAACCATCACGGGCACCTTCGTTGTACCTGAGTGAGGGTGGTAGGGACAGGGCACAGCATCGTTGTGTGAAACACATAGGGGGGTCGTACTTTTCCGCTGGGGAGGGGGTCGTATTTGGGGTAAGACAAATTTATTTTGATAGTTGATTTTTTCTTGTGGAAAAAGGGGGTCGTATTAATTCGTCAGTATTTTTGCTGGTCATATGCTCCCTGTACATACCGCCGTCTACGTTGCATGTTATTGTAGACACAACCCCCCCCCCCCTTGACCGGAGCCGATTTGTCGCGCCCGACTATACTCATCGCTCGTCAGTCGGCGAAAGAGCCGGTCGAGCTGAGGGGGGGGGGTCGTACCAACGGGGAAAAAAAGGGGGGTCGTGGCGCGGACCCCATTCGGAGGGGGGGTCGTACTCACACCGACATTTCGCCTATCCCTATGCTGTACCCTGGGTAGGGAAGGGCTCGCGGTCTGGGCGCACTTAAAAACGAGAACAACAGGACGGCCATGCGCGGTCATGACCATAACCGCTGTAAAACTGAAGAGACGGTAGCAGCCAGTCCAAGTGCCGCCTAGTTATGTTGCGCGATGAAGTACAAGGTTACAAGCGAAGCTGTGGACCCGATAGCTAGTGGCAACGAGAAACCCCGTAGAAAAAAATTATAAACTCTTCGGAAAGGGCCTTATTGAGACCAAGACGGGAAGCTCTCCTGGGTAAATGGGGGCGTATATGTCAAACAGGAGCCGGCACAGGACCCCTCAACGCGAACTACGTAAGCCAGGGAGAGCAGTGAGATAAAAACCCTCTAAAGTAGTTTGAGAGATTCAAGAGTTTCTGTGGATTCGTACTACGTCCTACAGTAACCTAGAAACTTATGGTCCCACCATTTTTTTGGGACGCAGAAAGTGTTCTCTCGTACACTGGCACGCAAAATAGTATGTTTAGATGGGTGAGAGGCGGGCTCGAGTCCCGTCTGCGGTCTGACTTTTGCCCATAACTCAGCTTTCTTTCAAAAACAATATTTGAAAACTATATTTGAATTCATTATTCCGGAAAAAATTAGTGAGTATTTCTGAAAAGAAGGTTTTCAAGCGTGCACATGATGAACAGTAATATGGGTATGGCCGTTGTTTGTATGGTAAATTCAACGGAATACATGGACGCTAACCAGAGCATGTCTGAAGACGATGCAGCACCTCGGCTAAACTGGACATCCGATCAGGAGGTATGAATTTTTGAACTTTCTCATACTTTTCCTCCTGTGGTTTTTCGCTGCAAAGCTTACAAATTCTTGCGGGTTTGGCGCGAATCTGACTGACTGTGCTGGCAAAATGTTGACTAAAGAACTGAGCCTTTATTGCACCCTATAAGTTGTACCGTAAACTAGGTTGTAATTAGGAGTCGTTGGTGGCACTCGAGTCCTTTTTTCATGTTTTCCACTCGCAGTTAGTCGTAGGTATGGCGATCAACCTACCTTACTTAGAGAAGTGCATGGTTTGAATGGCCTGCGCTACGGCTTGGATGGGACTGAAGGGTAGTGTCTCTGGAGATCCTGCCACAAAGGTCAGCGTATTTTGAAGAGTCACCTCATTCCAGAGAAAGATTACGAGCGGTATCTCACCTAATGACTCGAGCTCAACATCTGCAATTCGCCCCACTCAGGTGACTATAGTGGAAGTGGTGTGGAGGCAAGTAGAGCCGCTTGCCATGGTCACGGTCAGGGGTCAAATACCTGGAAGGATCCCTCTCAGGCCAAGCACGCCCTCCATTCGCCTCGATAGTTGAGACATGGTGAGAGCAATGAGTAGTATGGCCCCATGAGTTACTCTATGAGCCGAGCCGCATTTTAAAGTCAGTACAATTTCGGGTGGAAATAGAATGTGTGGCGGGTCCCAAGACATGCCATTAATGTGATCATGTCGAGCTTCCTTTGCCCTTCAAGAGAGCACATCAAGGTCATTACTGGACTAGGGGCAATGGGTTATACACTGTCTTATCTCCTGAGAGAGCTTGGCAAATCAGCTGCATCATTTTTCTTCCAGGGTTATATTTTCTCCGCATTCAACGTCGGCCTCCTTTTCATGCTTCTCACTGGTTTCATAGCAGACAAGTTCAACGCGAAGTACATGATTGTTGCAAGTGTGAGCCTCGCTGTCATAGCCAACCTGATGATCGCACAGTTCTCCATAGTCAGGTGAATGTTTTGATATGGTCTACAAAGAGAAGCAAAGAAGAATCTTCATGGAGGCTGTTTAGGGATTTCTCATTAAATGCTTTTTCGCTCTTACTTGAAAAGTTTATTGCACAGCAGATGAAGCTTTCAGTGTCCTATAGTTTGGAACTGAGGATAGCTCGCCGATCTCGGAAGATCAAACTGACCCTTCAACTTTCATTTTCAGCGTCTATTTTGCTATCGGTGGCCGATTCTTGGTTGGATTTGCGGATGCCCTCTTGCAACCAGCCGTGAACTCTTTGATAACTCGATGGTTTCCAACTAGCGAGCGAAGCTACGCTTTGGGACTTGCAACTGGTGGTCGTCAGTTGGGTGAGATAAGCTCCTCACCTTCAGAATTCTTCACTTGGCCAATTAGAACTGTCAGTTTAGGCACCCTGATCATTATCCCTGCGGCTGGTGCCCTCTGTGCACAAACAGCACTATTCGGTGGTTGGCCGTCTATTTTCTACCTATCGGCCGCAGTTGGTGTCTTTTTCGTCATTGCCTATTCTTTCATCGGTGAGTACAATACAGCAAGAAAAATAATCGCATCTCCTCCTCGCGCCATTGAGCGGTACCTGGGTTTCCTCGAAGGCACATTGTACGGTAGTGAAGTGGGGTCCACTACTATTTTACGGGTGTTAGGGGAAGAGTGAGTGAACTATGAAAAACGTCGAAGACGCTAAGGCTACAGAAGTGAAGGGAATTCAAGGAACCGAAAGCGCTGCTGCAAGGTTGAGGACCAGAGAAAAAGGATGAGAAAATAAAAAGACGAACAAAATGACAGAGATGTCACCTCACAGATCTACACTGAGGTCCCACCCAAATTTTATTGATAAAACGCTCTCACTACTTTACTAAAATAGACACACCCGACAGCTTCCAGATAACGCTGGGAATCTACTTCGCGTCTAGGCCCACAGTGATTAGATATCTTCCGACTCTAGCATAGAAAGGCAAAAGATCTCCCAACCCTTCTAGCCGTGTTCAAGTTAGTCATTGAACGGGAGATCTTCAGTGATCTTATAGTTAGTCAGAATGTGTGACAGTTGTTCTGTTGAGCTCACTCTCTCACACA